CTCTCTCTCTCTCTCTCTCTCTCTCTCTCTCTCTCTCTCTCTCTCTCTCTCTCTCTCTCTCTCTCTCTCTCTCTCTCTCTCTCTCTCTCTCTCTCTCTCTCTCTCTCTCTCTCTCTCTCTCTCTCTCTCTCTCTCTCTCTCTCTCTCTCTCTCTCTCTCTCTCTCTCTCTCTCTCTCTCTCTCTCTTCTCACTCTCCTCTCTCTCCTCTCTCTCTTCTCTCTCTCTCTCTCCCTCTCTCTTCCAAACTGATTGTAAATGTTGCGCATTGTATCAGCCAAATGACTTACTGCTAAAGTTATGTTTTTCCTAGACAGCGAATGGCACCCCTCTTCTCTTCAGTTGCTGGCTGGATTTGGATGTGAACAACCCGCTTCTGTGGGTGCAAGTGGCGCAACTACTCATCCTCTGGTTCGTTGGCATGACGTTCATCCTGAAGGCTCTGGGTACGAAACACGAAGACGTCCTTTCGTCGCAGACTTCCGCCATGCTTGAGCGCAGACGGTGAGCGCGCTTTGACTGGAGATGATCCGAAAGGACAGCCGCGGTCACGTGATCACCAGTCACGACCTGCGACCCGTGCCGACCAGCCGGGGAGCAGCCCCGCACGGCTTCTTTCTGAAACCTTGCAGCGATATCGAACAGCCGGCGAGCCGTGAGGAGGCCGGCCGCGAGCCTCGTGTCGGTGCTGTCCGTACGCCGCTCCTCGCTGTTTCTGCAGACTCCGCTCCGCTAACAGCCATCTGACAGCTTTGCTGACAAGTACATCCCCCCTCCCCCACCCTCCCGACTGTATGTGACTATTGTCCCACTTCCATGTGATGCCATGCGGCTGTCGTTAGTCACCAGCTCTCGCAATCTGAGCCACTGGTGCTCACCGTCGTCTGCATTCACCGGTTCCTCCCCTTGCGACTGTCACCAGTCGCCAGTCCAGCTCCATGTCACCGTCTTTATTTGTCAGACCATCCCAACCGGATCATCCTCAGCCAACAGTGCGCTTCCATGGTACGCCCTCTGACCATCTAGCCCCTCCATCTGGCCGTCTGGCGTCATCAGTTCAGCTCCACCTGGCCAACTTCATCACTCCCATGTTTTATTGACATTGATGTTATTTCATTTCGGATATTCTTATTTCATTCTCAGATGTTTGATATTAATCCGGAGCCAATGCCCAATGCCCCAATCCGGCCCTGTCGCCGCCTGACTGTCTTCGGTTTCCATCCGTGTCCATCTGACGCCCCCTGGCGGCCGGCAGTGTCCTGTGGAAGCTGAGCTACATCACACTGGCCCTGCTGCTGGTCGTGCCCGGCTGCTGGGCGCTCGGCGCCACCGGCTTCTTCTTCTCGGAGCCGCGGCTGATCATCTCGCTCGCCACGCTCGACGTCCTGCTGGCCGTGCTGGTGCTGGCGCGCGTGCTGGCCGAGCCGGTGCTGCGCGAGCGGCTGGCGCAGCTGTGCTCCGACACGTACGTGAAGTCTGCACGACAGCGGCACCACCGCGTGGGCGTGGCCCCCAGCAAGCCGCTCAGCCTGGCGCACTCAAACCAGCGCGAGATGGACGCCTTGGACGACCGCGGCCTGCTGGTCAAGCGGACATTCCACTTCAACCGTGACGAAGCGAGCTGGACGCCCGGGGGCAAGCTGGAGGCGCACCTTGGTGTGCCAGTGGAGACCTGATCGGGACATTTCGAGTGGAGGCGGCGGGCCGTCGGGGTAGGGCGTGCTGGTTTGGGGTGACGGGATCAGGAGCCTGGGGCCCAGGAGGGTGCGAGGAGCCAGACGGGAGGACATCGATCGGGGGATTATGGATGAGGAGCTCGGCGTCCAGTCATCTTGCAGGGGTTGTGGAATAGGGGTGGAGGACCATGATGTCGTTTAACAAGACGGCGCTTATCAGCGTCCCAACGGTTTGGAGCGTCCATTCTAAAGTTGATCCTTTTCATGCTTCAACGCATAGACAGTTTTAAACCAAAAAAGTAAGCGACCGTTGCCCCTTGGCCCTTCTAATTCCTACGCTTATGTAGCAAGAATTAACTAAATTTCAAACCACGTGCAACAACAGTGAGAGACATGACATTACATGCAGCAATTAACATTCGCCCCTCTGAAAACGCGAATAGCGAAAGAGACAGTTCCTTATGCAATACGAATGGATCCAGCACCTGAATTCTGGTTTACCGTGGCAGCCTTTGCGCATGTACAGGATTGTGAGATTGATGCCGTCACCGGAGGATCATTGTTGTCTTAGCGAGTTCTTTGATTTTACTTCATTTTATTGGCTGATGGCCAAAGCTCTGAAAAAGCTTTCAGTGATGTACGATACATGCCCTTAAACTATATCGAAATATTTTGATAGGTACGTAAGGCGTTTACCTGTACCTTTGAAGTAAAAGGTACGGGTTGGTTATGTTAGATGTGTCGATGCAGCATTCATTTGTTGATTACGTTGCTGGAAGAGTTGCGCCAATGATGCCAGTAGCATTATATATGGCGGTCTGCTCGGACTTTCATCCTCCCGTGCACTGAATGTCGGCAACAATGCCCGTGCTGAGGGCAAGATAGGGAACCCCACGCCTTGTTGCCCAGTGCCAGACAAATGTTTGTGATTTTGTGCCTTTATGTGAGCGTGCCTTCCTGCTTGGTGTGGTAACGCCGAAGTTCTCGGTGTCGGGTCAGTAACCCCGACTGAGTTCAGTCAGTTGTCGGGCGGGGCTTGCGCAGTCTCGCGACGCCTGCAGCAGGGGTCGTGGAAGGAGGACCGAGTAGCGGAAGGCCACAGCTGCGGTGCAGGTCGTGTCATCCCATCACGGCTGCCGCAGAGTCGCGGTTTTCTCCGAAGAGCGGTGTCGCCTGACGTCCGCCTACCGCGGCTTCTGTGCAGGGACAGTCCAGCCTAGGCCCGGGCTTTTCTCTTCGGTCAGATCCTCGAAGCACCCAGTCCTCGACATAGCCTGTCACTGTTGGCCGTGTCAGATTCTCTGAACGCGGTGTAGGAACTGTGGCCTGACCACAGCCTTCCACAGCCAGCTCGTGCCTTCGTGTGCACGCGTGCGCATCAGACTTGTGATCCGTGTCAGGGTGATTCCACGTTAGCGCTCCCCTGTACTGAGCCCTGCACTGAAAGAGTGGAGAGAGTACAAAGGGTCGATTGAAGACGTGTTACATTATTTCACATTGGTTCGAGCCACGCTTGCTACAAAATGTAGTAATACTGAATGTTGCAGACAGCTGGCGCTGTCTTATTCGCCCATCCCTTTGATTTCCGATCATTCTGAGTTGCGCCACATGATGCGTCCGTGTTCTTGCCGTGAGACTACCCTGGAGCTTACAACTCAGTTGAATACATGCTTAACTCATCCCGTCTTTATGCTTGATTCAAGCCTCATCAAATCCCGTACGTGACGTAACAATCATTAAGCACGGTATGTGCATTGCAACATTTTGAATGATCGTGATCAATGGGATGCCATCTCTTTTTTTCGGAACTTTGCTGCTCAAAGAGCGCTTTTTCTGTGCACAGTGACTACGGATTCAACATATTTATGGTGACATGTTGCAACATATAAGACAGCACTGAAGTTGAATCCGTAAACAGCATTATCTCAGCAGAATTGAAATGGCATGACGATGCAGCTTCTCAACTCCTGCATGAACTCATCTCCGAGAAATGGAACCCGTCGGTCCAGGTCCGGCAGCGTCCCGTGGGGTCCAAATCCGATCCGAGTAGGCCAAGGCATGTACCACACAAACATTCCAGCCGCCTCCATTTCCGGTGTTCTGTGGGGCCTCTCAGAACGGGTGACGGGTCTGGGTAACGGGCCTGATCCAGCACCACACCGCCAGCTAAGCCGCCCACGGTGTCACCCGCGCACAGCGGCCAACTGGGACCTCCTGTGGACCGATCAGGCGGCGCGTGTGCGCTTTGCGTGTGTGGCGGAGAGCACGATGTCGACACGCCCACCGAGACCGCAGCGGGCCGAAAATTTCCTCGGACAGGGCCGCCAGTCACGCCCGTGCTGGCGGCGGCCGAGTTTCCTGCCCGGTCGCCACCGGTCCGCGCCCGCGCTGGAAATTCCGCCAGGGTCGTGTGACGTCGCCTTCGCCGAAGCGAGTCGGTGCCGAATGCCATGCTCAGGCCGGCGGCCAGCTATCGCTGACGTCAGCGGCGTCGAGGGCCGGGCAGGTTGTGCAACGCGCGCGCGCCCGGCCGATTTTTGAATGATGTAACTTAATGGTCGCCGCCGGAGCCACGGTCGCCGAGGCACAAAGCCAGAGCCGGCCGGTTCCCGGAAGGATGGCAGGGAAGAGGCAGCACGGAGGGGGTCGGGCAGAGGGCAGCAACGTGAATTGGTGAAATACCACAATACGATACCCCACACGCATGCAAATTGACATGCATGCATGCACCTTTACAACCGTGTCACCGGATATTGCATTTATGTTGACTGACTCATTGGGTAACGTTGCTGTTCGGCCCTCGGGATGCATGGCACAGCCCCAGAAGCCGCGTTTTGTTGCGCATCGCCGAATAAACAGTGCCAGATTCAGAGCTGTTACTTTTACGAACTGACGGGTGAGGCGCACTGCATCACGCATGGAAATACTACTTCTACACAACCGCATTAGGCAACACCCTGAATCTCCCAAATGGGACCGCATCTCGTGCCCCTCCAAATACACGAGAAGCTTCGTCCATGGCCGAAACAAATGTGCCACGAAGAGCCGTGCCAAGGATGAAAGGTCAGCTGGCCGGAGCTCCGGCAGCCGGAGCTCGATCCCGGGAACTGGGTCCGGCCAGGGGCGCGCTGTGCGGAGCCGTCCTGGCAGTGGTCTGCAGCGCCGTGTTTCCCGCCCGTGGCCGCCTAGACCCGCCCTCTGGCCGCCAGGCGGGTGGGCGCGCTGTACCCGGCCGGGCGGCCCCTCCGCAGGCGGGCGGCGCAGCACGTGAGGTGCGACTTAGCTTAGGGCCGGCTCGCCTGCGGTCCCGGCGGCGGGCGGCACCCGGCCGGCCGCAGCGCGCCGGCCCGTGCGCAGTTGCATGATAATGCACTTTATCGGAAATCGGGCGCTGAGCGACTCAGGAATTCCCGATATGTCCGGGCCATTCTGAGCACTCGACGAAAAAGCCTTCACCTGCCCTTGGAGAGGCTTGGGTTGGCCATTCCAAGTCAGGCATATACTCACCGCCACGCATACACCACTGTGACGTCAGTGCCATAAGCATGATACTTTCCATGCATAAGATGTTTGAATGCCTTCTAAGAATCTATGATATCCGTAATCATTATACGGGGCGCATGTAACACGGCAACACAGTGAGGATGGGTTGCATGCAAGCCATCCGGTTGGATAGGTAACTATGGCGTAAATATCTTACGGCACGGATAATCTCGCTTTTCCCGGGATCGTTAGATCGAGAAATAGGTCGCCAGCTAGCCGCGCTGGGTCTGGATGCCGCTCTGCTCCGGCCGGCTGGCCTCATGCGCCGCGTCCGGCTCTCCGCCGGGCTGCTGTTTGAGGCGCGCGGAAATCGGCAGGGTTACGAGGGGGACTGAGCGCGCCAACCTTCTTAAAATGCACCGTTAGCCCTTAAGACGTTGGCGAAAGGCAGTGAACAAAAATAGCTGTCGCCTTTCCCACAACTTTGAAGGTCTTTCGCTGCCCCTGGCCTCCTTGGCCGTGCATATTTTTATTTTAATTTGTTTGACATACATTTTATGTAAATTATATTATTTTACATAAATTCCATTTTATTTTTTACAATTTGACATGCATTTGGAAGGACCATAAGGCCCGTCGCAATATTTCGGACCTACACACATGAGTGCTGTTCTCAGCTATTAACGCTCGCTACCGCCGACTCATTACGGAAGTGTGAATCATCTTGATGAACGACGTGGAAGGACGTGAATGATCTTGATGCCGTCACGATCGATGACGGTCATCCCTGATAATCCCATCCCAAGCCCAGGCGGGCGGGCAGGCATGCCGCCGAGCGAGATTTGAAGCGCCGCGTGTGAAGCAATGGGCCTCGCGATATCATATCAGCTGACCACAAATCAACGCGCTGCCTCACTTGCGGAAAAGCCCCTGATGGTGATGACCGACGAGCCAGTTCAGTTCGGAACAAGATAAGAGGCGTCAGCTTTGCAGGCAGCTGTAAAATATGAAAATAAGTAATTTTGTCAGGACAGAAGACATGTTGCGCAATCACGTCTGCAGCCTGGGTTGTTGTTTTGTCCCTCCAAGGGTCCACAGAACCATCACTGCTATGGCAAGTATCATCGGATATATTTGGGTAGTATCCACCGAGCTGCTTAAAATGCTGGACACCTGAGTCCCTCAAAAGGCAGTAGACTGTCGGTAAAGTTTTCATGCCATTCTGGTCACAGCCGCTGCTCGGAACGTCGAGTGTGGACAATACAGCCACTGTTTGCTTGATAACATCGTTTAACCAGTACCCCCTAGCGTATTAAAGGTCGATAGCTGTCATGATAATTGCCTCTGAACTCTTAATGCACAAAAAAACCAGGGGCTTTTTTCTTATATCAAGTGGAGCCCTCATATGCGGAGACCAGGGGCCACTTTCCGCAACAATCCGGTATGTCCCGACTTTCCCCTGCCTGCGGAGTCCGGCTCTAGTTCCACCGCTCGCACCGCTCCAGGAATCCGGCTCAGGTTCCACCGCTCGCACCGCTCCAGGAGTTCGGCTCTGGTTCCACCGCTCGCACCGCCCCAGAAGGGAGTCCGGCTCCCTTCTGGGACGATTCCCACCGCACTGCACATGAGTCCACCTGATGGCCTGCCAACGTGCGACAGGGTGATGGTCGAGAGCGATGAACCTCACTCCCCCCCCCCCCCCCCCCCCCGATGCGTGAATTCTGATTCAGTGGACGCCGCACGATCAGATGTAAATCAGAGATCAAACAACGGCCTTTACAAGGGGCTGGCCGGCGGCATCCAGCTCGATCCGGGACTCATGCACCAATTGGTGCTGCATCCAAACTACCATCAAGCGGATCAGTGTGATCTTCCCATCCGATGGAGACCGTTACTTTGCACGCGTCACTACGTCGAGCCTCAGCGAAACACGGTGGCTATTTGGAACAGTCTATTAAGATTACAAACAATAATATGCCATGTAATATCGCTCTCCAAACACACCGCGACAGGACCGGACGCGAAACATTTTTCACGTGGTTAGAAGGGTAGAAAACGCACATCTGACTAGCATTGAAAGGAGAGGGCAGAAAATAAAGCGCGCCTAGCGGTACGACGCACCGGGCTGCACCCGTGCAAACAGAGAACAGAGAACTTCTCGCGGCTGGGTACGGCATGGCTTGTGGGGTAATGATATGTTCCGTGTCATGATATAATAATGATACGACGTCGGTTTCTGTGCGGGCGAGTACCGGCGGCGGCTCCCCGGTCAGCGGGTCCGAACCGAGCATGCGCCCGACGGGACCGGGAGGAGAGGCGCGTCGCGCGGGTCCGGTGCCGGCCCCGCTCCGGCTCGAGCGACGCTGCCCACATCGACGAGTTGGGGCCGCGCCGCCGGCCGCACTCACAACGTGGCAGGAAGACACGGTGTAGACATGGTCGGCGCGCGCCGGCGTCCGGCCGACCGCGTGTAAATACAGATATAAAAGCCGGTCGGTGCGACGGCCGTCGCCGCACGCCCGCGGAAATCCGTCCACTTGGCACATGGAACACACGGCACAGAGAACAGCAAACGGCGCCGCCGCGGCCGGCCCGACAGCCAACACAGACGGCGTGGCCTCCGGCAGCCAGCGGCACAACACGCACGGGACGCCACAACGGCCAGGAATTTGGACACGGACGCGTCAAAGGCACGTGCAACTCGAAAATGATGGCGGAATGTTGTGACTTGTGGCTGTGGGCCGACGTACACGGGTTCTGTGATAAGTCTGAATGATATGCGCTACGTTACACATCTGATACTCCCATCTAGTATAAATAACACTACGCACATGCTATTTCGCTGATTATACGGTAATGAGTTGATTCGCGATCACATACCGTGACTAGGCAATCGTCCACATATGAATTGCACACAGGAATGTCTTTGGAATGGCGTCTACTCTGGGAATGGCGGACCGCTCCATCAACATGTCCTTGGATCGCGCATCTGAGATGAATACCGTGAAAAAATAGCACGTGACTCTCGTCGAACATCACACTACATCGATATGCCATCAACACACTGAGGGGCCCGCACAAGGGTGCCCTGATCTGGCTGGAACGCTGAGATCGAGCCTCAAGTGAGCAAAAATCACAGAGACTGGGGCGCGGGCGCCCTCACAAAACATCGAGATCATCAGCGCCGGACGCGGACCTGGGGAAGGGGAGGGGGTGGGAGCTTGCACCCGGGGCCCGAGTCGGGCGGCCTCTGCGGTCGGCGACGCGTGTCGGCGCAGTGCCGCGCCGACGGCCCGCCTCCAAGCGACCGAGGACGGGATGCCGCCGTTCTCCAGTCGACTTAGGAGCTCTCCGTCGTCTGTAGCACTTGGCCGCCGGCCGTGTGCGCGCGGTTTGTGATGTCCGAGATGGAGAGGCTGGCGCCCAATCGATCGCCGAAGAGCCGGCCGAGCGCGGCCGTGTCGAGCAGGCCGCCGCCGCCGGCAGCGTCGGCGCCGCGGTGCGCGTCCTCCAGCCGGCGCATCACCTCCACGGGCAGCAGCTGGCCGGCGCGCGACGGCGGCGGCGGCGGCGACGAGCACGCGCCGCCGTACAGCATCACGCCGCCGGACGTGGCCACGCGGTCGGCGGGTGCCGGCGACGCGGCCGCCTCCGGCTGGCCCTCGGCGGCGCGCTCGCGCCGGCCGGCCCTGTCCAGGTGGCGCTGCTTCACCTTGTACTCGAGCGTCGAGTGCGGCACGCCGTAGAAGTTGCCCGCCCGGTGCACGCTCATCTCGCCCGACTGCACGGCGCGCACGGCCTCGGCCAGGTGGCTGCGGTTGTAGTTGCGGTACTTGCCGCGTTTGGGCCGCGAGCCCTTGGTCGACGGCTTGGCGGTCTTGGCCGGCGGCGCCGCCACCACCGTGTTGTTGTTGTTTTCGGTCAGCTCGAGCTTGCGCTTCCGGGCGGCCGGCGCCGGCGCCGGCGACGGCGACTGCTGGCAGGCCACGTCATCGCTGCTCTTGCTGTCGCTCAGCTCAGCCGACGGGCTGGGAATCGGCGCCGGCGGGTCGGCCACCGCCGCGCGCAGCTGCGCCAGCACCTCGTGCACGCGCTCGTGCGACATGCGGCGCACGAAGTCGTCCCAGACGGGCGGCTGGTCGGCGCGCGGTCCGTCCGGTTCGCGCGTCTGCAGCGCGCGCTGCAGCACGCTGCTGCACATCCAGCTCATGACGGCGCGGATGGGCTGGCTGGCCGGCTCGACCGGCTGCGTCAAGCGTGCCTGCAGCAGTTGACACGGCGGCCCCGGCTCCGGCTCCGGCTCTGGCTCGGCGGCCGGCGGTTCCGGCTCCGGCTCCGGCTCGGGCGCCGCCTTCGCGTCGGCCGCCAGCTCTGCACGCTTCTCCTGCGCTGCCAGTCGGTACACCTTGTTGCGCAGCGTGGAGCGCGGGATGCCGTAGATGACAGCGGCGCGCCGCGTGCCCAGGCGACCTGACTGGATGTCGCGCAGAGCCGCCTGCAGCTCCTCCTCCGTGTACGGCTTCTTGTTTGACGGTGGCGCCTCCTGCTTACGGGCTGGCCGACTGCGGGCAGGGTAGGGATGCCCTGAGACGGCGGCACGCACTCCGGCAGACGGTGAGACAGGCCAGCGCAGCAATTAATTTTATTCCGTGTCACAAATCAATACAGCGAATCTAGATTACAAAGTAGTCAACCATATTACGGAACACAAATCGATACAGCGAGTCCCGACTGCATCCTACCAAGTCATCTTTACCAAGACGTCACAGGCCACCCTGTCCCTTTTTGTCTCGGTGCTCCTGCCTCCAGTCGACACAGCACGTGCCGTGCGGCGGTGTTCGCGACGCCGCTCCACTGACCTGTTGGTCGCCGCCGGGGGCGACTGTCGCGAGCAGCTGAGGTCCAGCGGCTGGTCATCGGCCGGAAGGGCGGCCGGCTCCTGCTGCGCGGCGGCCGACGCCTGCCGAACCGGACACCCGCCGTCACGACCGTGCATACCGCACGCTCGCGCGCCACGTCACCCAAGAGAGGCGCGGCGACAGCACACGCCGACGTTATCGGGTCATCACACAGCCGGCACACGGCGCGGACAGCAATTGCTAACGGAGCGTGACTGCAACGTCACACTAGTCACGCGGGACACGACTAAGCCTGAATCGACGCGCTGCCAGACACAACTCTGAACAAACAGAAGATTGATTCCCGACGGCACACGCCAGAGCGCCACCCAAAGCTCCAGCACGAGTCGCCCTCGCCCGTGGCGACCTCCAGCTGCCCGGCCCGAGCGCGGCGCGGGGCGTGCGCCTACCTTGCCGGCCAGCAGCGTCTGATAAAAGGAGAGCGTGTCGTTCCAGGAGAGCAGCCGGGAAGGTGTCGGCAGTGCCGGCCGGTGCTGGGCGGCCAGCTGCTGCAGGCCGGCGGCGGCCGACAGGGCGGCCACGGAAGCGGGTAGCACAGGAGAGACAGCTTCCGGCGGCGGCTCGGCACACATGCTGGCCAGTCCAGTCCAGCTCTGCCGAACGAGCAGGACGCGCGTCAGAGCGGCGCCGGCGGCGAGCGCGGCGCGGCAAACACGGCACCAGCCCACACAGACCGAGGACGGGCCACGAGTCACCAGAAGACCGCATCGGTCACGGGTACGCTCATCATACTGACGCATACACCCGCCTCATGTCACGGCCACTAACGGATCATAAGAAGCATTCAATCTTCAGCGACTACGTACACTGGAAAAGCCAGTTATACTTGCTTCGGTTAGAATACGTCAATGTCAGCTAAAGAGGATTTTGAACCGATCGCGGACGCTTCGTTAAGGTAAAGATGTCAGGCAAGGCAAAGTTGCTCGCTTTAGCTGCTTACTAGTAACGTGTAAGAGCCCCCGGCCGTTTCAAGTCCCAATACACTCAGTACGGATCGGTTTTCGTTTCACCGTTATCCATGCCGTTCTGACACGGACCTGCGGGTCGACCACCGCACGTACAGGCACATGGCACGTGTAACCGTGCGTGACACTTCCCTACCCAACCATGATTTCGGCCGCTATGAATAGCCATGCACGCGGTAACCGATGACACGGGATCGGTCGGGGGTTGCACCTCGAGCTCGGCTCAAGCACATCTGGCAGTTCCCGCAAGACCACCCGGCATTACCGGCACAGGGCCCTTTCAGCCCTCGGCCGTCCCAACGGCTCCCGTTCCCACCAAACACAATTCAACTCAAGTTATTCGGCTTCTATCCGGGCGTTATGCAAACATCTCCGGGTGCCCAGCCGCGGGAGCGTTGAGCGCCGCACCGGCGGAAGCCGCCACCGGCCCCAAGTGTCGCTAGCGGCGCGGCCGCTCCAGGTCGCCACTTTACCCCGATCCAGGCGAGGGCAGGCCACCGGTGCCACTCCTCCTCAGCCTCCCAGCCGCGTCCCACGGCTGCTCGCCGGCACAGCCACACCGCACGTGCACCCGGGCCGCGCGCCACTCGCTCACTCGCCGCCGGGGCGGGCGCGACCGCGTCACTGGCGCTCACCATGCGGGCGCAGCTCTCCGGGAAGTGAGGCGCTCAGGGCCGATGGCGGCGCACAGCGTCCCCGCGCGCGTGCACGGCTGTAATGAGCAACACGGCGGCGGCGGCGGCTGTGGCCGTGCCCCCGACCGCCCCGCGGCCCTTTCGTCATAACCGGTCGGTCGCTTCCCCGAACTGCGCACGCCAGCTGACAAAGATGGCGAGCGGGGCGCCCGGACGTGCCAGCGCCTCCGACCGGGCTGGGGGCCGGACGCGGGGCGGCGCGCGACCGGGCCGGGGCCGCAGCGGCTGCCGGCGCGCCGGCGGCACTCACCAGTAAGACGTCTGTCGACCGGCAGGCCAACCCGCCCGACATGCCGCGTCGGTGGCGGCGGATGCTCGAGTGTGGGCTCACCTGGCTGGCCGGGTCGGAGTCGGCGGGCGGCGCGCACGGGCAGGGGCAGGGCCCGGCGCCGGCGGCCGGCTCGGTCGGAGGGCACCAGTCCTGCGGCGGGCCGACGTCAGAGGCGCCCAGGTGGTGACGCAGTCGGCGCCACCGGCTGCGGCCCAGCAGCTCGGCCAGCACGCACTCCAGACCTGCCGGAAGCGCACGCTCGTCACAATGAGCATAGGCACTAAAGAAACTGAAGATGGCTTAATGGAAAGTGATAATGTTCTGTGTGAGTGGTACTGGTTTAAAGCATTTGCTAAGCATGGCTTGCAGCAGCGTGCGAAACAATGTTCCCATTCCAAGATGTGCGGAGAAGGTCCTTTCCTTTTTTGTTGCTGTTGTTTACTGGAGTTTACGGAAAGGTCCTTCTCTATGAAGCACCATATAAAAATGCCTTTTTACGTGCAGTTTTCCACCCACCACCATTTGGCGACAGTTAGGTCAGGAGGGGGTAGGGTACTGGCCCCCGCTGGTCCTGTTCCCACACATAGGCTTGTCACGAGCACTGTAATGCCAGCACCCCAATTCACCAATTCACGTTTTGCAGATGACACGTGTTTCGGCATTTTCCGCAAGCATTAGCCAACGCCTTTAACAGTATCATGTCACACCTTGAGTCATCCCGACCTCTCGGCCGCTGCTAGCCGGCCCTATGCCGATCCAAAACCGATCTATGCTGTGCACAGCCAATGTTCACATGTGCTGCCACCCAACACTAACCACGCCGAGTGGTGTGACGGTCCGTCCTGACCTCCGTTCACTGATTACTTCATCACAATACCCCGGCCGGGACGCAGCTGGAGCCTCGATTTCACCCCGCCGCGCCTCACGCCCGCACATCTCGTCACGCTGACGCCTGATCACGTGACGTCACGCCTCCCCCCCCCCCCCCCCCCGGCGGCCGGCTGATCGGCGCCGGCTCGTGCTGGAGCGCCGGCGCGCGCGCCGGCACGGGCGAGCCTCCGCCGAGGCCGGGTCGGACGACGGTCACCGCCGCTGCCCGCCGACCCCCAGCCGGGTCAGACGACGGTCATCGCCGCTGCCCGCCGACCCCCAGCCGGGTCAGACGACGGTCATCGCCGCTGCCCGCCGACCCCCAGCCGGGTCAGACGACGGTCATCGCCGCTGCCCGCCGACCCCCAGCCGGGTCAGACGGCGGTCACCGCCGCTGCCCACCCGGCCCCAACCGGCTGCAGACGCCGGTGGCAGTGCTGTCCCATCCGCAACGAAAAGCGGCATGGCTGTAAGTGTGAATAGAATGGCCGAGACACGGGTAAACTTTACATGCAGATAGAGGCATGACATAAAGGCCCCATCCGGCTCCCTCGGTCCGCACCGTCCCGGAAATTCATCAACAACCAAGCTTCGTTCTCAAGCACTATCCATTTTTAATGGCGGCCGCATGCAGCTTTTAACGGCGCTCGCAGTGCTGCCAGCAACGCCGTCCCTGCAAGACGTGCTTGCGCTTAAGTGCAGTCTAAAAACGAAGCCAGGACTGGGGGCATGCCACGCCACTCCACTCTCCGCGTCTCTCCGCACGGGGCACCATCTGCGAATTGCAAGTTCTGGCTGCCAACTGTTGTCGATAACTGCGAAACTATTAGCGGCCGCCATAGGACAAACATCCCTATGCGCCGCCACACAACACCTCAGCAAACACTTCACAACCCGAGGACACGTTTCCACTACACAAGTGTTTTCCGCTCGCAAAAGCGTGCGGCGTGGGCAGTTCACTCGCAATGAGCCGCATACGACACCGGGAACGGCGCACCGGCCGCACCGGCTTCTGGCAACACCCGCCGAAGTCACAGCGTTGCCGTGACCGTCGGCCGCCGCGCAAAGATTCGCGATTTACAGCGCGCGTCAAAAGAACCGGGGCTGTCATGGTGAATGCAAGTCAGCGCAAAAGAACGGCGTGGCGTCGAACCGACGTGCTTGTTAGTGCGAGCACACTCCGTCAGCCGATTGTATGACAACCGGCGCCGGCGAGGCCGACGTCACCGACGTCACCGCGCCAATCGCTCGGCGACGTCAAGTCCGTGCCTCAGGCCGCCGGCGAGCCCGGCCCGCCGCCCGCCGGAGCAGCGCCGGGCGTTTCGTCAGCCATTCTCGCGAACGGACGGCGCGCGGCTCCGGGAAGGCCCAGAAAGGAAAGGGTGGCCTCGCGCCTGTTAGTCACCCGAAAACGACGGCTGCCGCGAGCGCCGATGACCTCAGTCCAGCGGGGGGCGGCGCCACGGCCCTGCGTCACAGCGACGCCTTGCAGCGTGGCCTGCCGCCGCCGGCGGCGGCGGCGGCGGCGGCGGCGGCGGTAGCAGCGCGGGGGAGTCCCGCCGTCCCGGAAACGGCCGCTCCAGCCGTCACAGTCCTGG